CCTCCACAGACTGTTTGATAGATGATGATTAATGTGAGTGTTGGGTCAGTTGTTACAGTACCAGTTCCACAGAAGGAGTGCCAGTAGCAGACTGAGAACCTCAGCCAGTCCTCCATCTTCCTCCCCATCAACACCTGCATAGAGAACACTGATCTCTGACCAGCCTCCCGTAACGCTATTACTCTGCTCCCATCATGGAATGCAGTGCACATTACCTAGCAGTATCACAAGGGTTATATCCCACACCACACCTACCTCCTCTGCATTGTAGTGTTTGAAGCACATGACATCTCCTGGCCCAGCAGTGGGGACATATGGGATCTTCTGAATGTCTGCAAATGTTATGCAATATTTCATGATATTGGGAATAACAGCCACACTACAATGCAACACGTCTGCCTTAGCATCTGTGTTTATGAAGCTCAAAATTTTGTGAAATTGTCAAATATACAAATTCAATTATATGTTTATTATTAAGGTCATAGTTAAAGGTGGTGTTGTACTGGACTACATTATATTCAGAGGTGTTCCTAATATTCTGACCCTCATATATGTAGCTGGGGAGGACAAAATATAGACACCTCTAAATATAGTGTAGTCCAGTACAACAACACCTTTAGCTATGATCTCAATAATAAACATGTAATTGAATTTATACATTTGACAATTTCACCAAAAACTGAAACACTTTGAGCTTCATAAACACAGATGTTAAGGTGGAAGTGTTGCACTGAAGTGCATACAACTGTACAGGTGTACCTGATAAAGTGGCTGGTGAGTGTATTATTCACACACACACACACACACACACACACACACACACACACTCACTATTGTTAGACAACTGTTTGAAACAGGGCAAAAATAAACATGCCAGTCTGTGGCTGCATAACAGTCACGACCGTACGCGTCCAAAGCCGGATGACGTAAGCAACCCCTGTGTCGCCTGCTGTGACAGATGTTTGAGCAAACAACTCAAGATATATGGGTTGGTTACTTTGGTCTAACACGGCCTTCGTAGTTCAAAGCTACTCACACACCGAACTCTTAACGTCAACAAAACACTATCAGCAGAAAGCGTATGCAGCACCACTGACTACTTAAATATAAGCTCTTACCCGCAAAAAATTCCTCTTGAGCAGCCATTTCTGAAACTTCTACGCTGCTGCTGCAAATTGGTTTGTCCACGTTCTTCCTCCCAAAGAGTGCACCTTCCTCTTCGCACACAAGATGTCACTAAATCCTTTAAAAACCCGACTACGTCCTTTTCGGGTTGCTGGATTTAGAGTTTTCACTTTGAGGATTCGTCAAAATGTTACAGTAAATTTAAAGTAAATTCGTGTCATTTGATTTAGTCAGAATGTTTTACTTGGCAGTTAGCGGCAATTTGTGTCTCTCTCGTCAACAGTATACGGTCACGTGCGCATACAGACGCATAGGCTATATTTCAAAATAAAATATACACAGTCTGGTTGTGTTTATTATTTGCTATAGATATAAACAAATTATACATCATAATGCTGATTTCCTATTGGCTAGTGTTATTGTTACAGTTTATGGTATACAGATAGACATATGGCCTATTGCAAAATGGGGATTTTTTTTCCTGGATGTAAGTAGTATGTATTTAAAACTTCATTAGATCGACCTTATAATTAAGCAAAGAGCAATAACACAGGATGATTACTTTTGCATACTTTTCTTTTAATTGAGATACTCCAGGTTCTCTCC